ATCCACCGTTCACCCTTACAACTCCGCGGGTTCTCTTAAATGGGCTGCGTCGGGAGGGAGGGAGGGCGTTTCCAAGGATAGAAAAGGAGCGGCTTTCGCCTGCGAGCTCTCTATAACGGGGACCCGCTGCCCTAGCTGCAGGTAGATGTCAATACTGCCCAAGATTCTGCGAGAGGCTGAAAAAATTGATGCTCCGCTTACATAAATGCACATTTTGCATTCGTTTCGCAAATAAAATGCTAAACATTTCAAGCGCTAGAAGTAAGCCTGTTTTAGGTACTTACCGACAGCTTTCACTTTGCTAATATCACCATTCACCATCTCCAAGATATACGAGTCTATAGCGATGATATGAAATAGCGAGTAAAAGAATGGCATAAAAATCATTACTAAGGTGATCAGTAGACAGTCACTTGAAAAAAAAGTTACTTTGTTTGCCTTCATGCCTTTCACAAAACCTCACTTACATGATTAAGTTATTGTGAAATCCATTTTGTGCGCCAAGAAATATCAAGCCACCCTGACCAAGTTTCAAGCTTCTCACTGTCTGTACAACAAAGTATGATTCATTCACTAAAGAAAGTGGAGGAAAAACGAACGAGGAGTATAGCGCTCAACCATGGTAAAACTCCTTTCACCGCCTCTACGGGAGCTATAGTAGCTGGTACAGCATAGGGATATTTAGGAGTGAACATCAGAAGTTCTCCGTGGAGCAAGAATGAGAGCATACAAAATACCAGCAATAAGCTAACACTAACAAACTGCAAATTATTCAAATTTTTAAGTTTCAGCAGAGTAAATGTTGAGTTGGATTCAAAGTCTACCCGTTTTTTGTTTCTTTCCAATGCAGTATAATTCCAATGGGCATAAAAATTTAGTTTATATATTACGAATTAGAATATTAGGATTAGTACAGCTCAAATTTACTATAAGAATTACCGCATTTTCCGTACTTACTTATCTGTTCATGCGTAGACAAAACAAGGAAGCCCTTTTCGAACTTGCGCATTTGATATCGGTTGGTTGGTATGATGTCTCATGAAAAATTACAAGCAAAGGTTACAAACTAGATCAACGAAAAGTTTTTGATTGTTAAGAAAATCACTACTTCATAGAGTTTAGAAATAGCTAAATAAAGGGGTAGAACTTTGCAGCTAACTCGTGTCGCTTACACACCGTTGCAATCGTTCGCCTTGTTCTTGACAAGATGAATATGCATATAAGGACGAAGATCATTGCGTACATAACAGCTTTCGGGGACATGTATGTATAATTTTTGAAGCTTGTGAAGTCATGCACTTCAGCGTTTCTGAAAAATACTTACATAGAGCGACTCGAAATACGAAATCGGGACATAGTTGTGCTACATTGAGATTCCTACCCCTTGATGTGCGTTGCTGCAATCGTTTTGGACCCCTTTTGTTTATTGTCGGTATATAAGAATGCCTCAAAAAGATGTGCACGCAGTTTGATCCTTAA